TAGTTCTCTATATGCTTTGGAAGTACTAGCAGGCATTCATCATAACATCTGGCAATTTCTTCCTTTTCCTGATTCAAAAGAAATCAAACATACTTTCTGAGGATTTTCTATATTCATTTCTGTTTACTTGCAATTCATTTACATGAGTTTAATGCACCACTTTCTATTCTATGGGCAGTCAGTATTTGTTGACTGAAGAACCAAATATTAACCTTCTAAAAATATTTCAGTCCTTAAGGAAGTTAGCTTAAATCCAGATTTCATACCATGATATTTACCTGTCATGAAGCAACAGAAATCTGTATTTTGAAGGATTGGAACTCACTCTAAAAATAAATTCTAACACAAATGTCATTATTTAAGACTCCTCCCTTCGGCTAGCTTAATTAGTCATGCTCTGACCAGTTTTCTTCAATTCAAAAGAAAGTCCAGAAAACAATCTGCCTTTAACTTGTCAGCAAGGTACTTGCATTCAACTAAAAAAGGAATAAAGGCCAATTTGCTAATTATGTCTTGCATAAGAGCTCAGAATCACCTTTACCCTTAAGTAATTTGTATGTAAGAGACAATTCTGCAACCAGTACTGGGTGAAAAATGAACATGAGAGTTAAAAAAAATTTCAACATTAGCTACCAAAATTCGATTCATAGTACCTGTTTTCTCTGTTCAGCTTAAACAAATAGAATAAAGTATGGATTCTTGATTTATTGTTCAGGGTCTTGATTTAAGTAAATACTCTCCCCAGGAATGGGTGAGATTCATTGGAGATTACTCAACAGAACCCACGGATGAGAAAGGAGACACAAAAATGGAGTCTGATTGTGAATGATTTGGGTTTTACTCTTAACTCTTCAATTACTCCTTCCCAATTTCCTCAATTTCCTCTACTGCTTACTTTACTTCCCTAGAGGAACACATTAATCAAAGGTTCTGTCCCCACTTGTCTTCTATTTCCTTCTATTTCTGCTCTTTTCCTTGGGGAACTCATTAATTTGCACTGTTTCAACTATCACCTCTTAATCTCTCTAGTCTGGGCTCCTTCCTGAGCTTGTCTTACATTTGGTATTATTAGCTGAATAGCCAGTCCTATCTGGATGCTCTGCTTGCACCTCAAACTTAACATATCCAAAGCCAAGATCTTCATTTTCCCAATCAAGACTTCCTGACTTACTATCTACTTCTGTTAAAAGCATTATCATTCTCTCATCCTTGGTATCATCTTTCAATGCTATCCCTTTTTTAAAAACTCTGATAGCCCATCCATTGCTAAGTCTGTTGACTGTTATCTCACAATGTCACTTGCATCTTTATTTCGACCACCACTCTAGTTGGCGCTATTGCTTCTTACTTAGAATATTACGTCAGTCTCACAACTGGTCAGTAAATATTCGCTGAATGAATGCAGGAAATGAATGGTATCCCTACTTTAGGTCTCTTACCACTTTAGTCCATCTTCTACAACAGGGCCAGGTTAATTTCCTAAAACACAGCTCTAATCTTATTGCTCTTGTATTCAAAATAGAAGTTACTACTTACCACATAATATATTTTTCTGTCTCACAGTTAAGATACTTCACATTAAGAGCTTTATCTGTCTTTTTAAGCTTATTGCCAATTCCTCTGAAACACTTCCCTCTCACTGGGACCCAAAACAGACTACTCACTTCTCCACACATACTATAATATATGCTGTCTCACATCTAGGCCATTGTTCATGCTATTCCTATGCCTGTAATAACCCTACTCATCAATCAAGGCCTATCTCAGATGCCATCTCCTCTCTGAAACCTTTCCCAACTCCCCATCATAGTGGTTCCTTACCTTTTCTCTGAAACCCCACAATACCTGACTGGTACTTCTTTAAATCATTTGTTACCTACCTTGTATTATGGCAATAAAATAAAACTTGCCTTATCCTGTATGATTTGAGGGAAGAACTTTGATTTATTCGTATCTGAATACTCTACAATGCCAAGAACAATATTTTGTATGGTAAGTTCTCAATAAATATTTTTAGAGTAGGGAAAAGAATGAGTAAATAAAAGAGAACATACATGGTATAAGGATGAAATAAGTGGTAAGAACTGGGTTCTAAAACAAAATATTAATCCTTCTATGTAAGAGGAGTAACCAAATTACAGCCAAACTTCATTTATGCTTGTTTTAAGCAAATACTTTTAATTATATTTTTGGAAATCTA